TTTGCATTAATTTTTAAGCCATCCAATCAGTGATTTATTTCATTCAAAATTTGTATTCGACCAATAGGAACTTGGGGAATTAGTAAACCCAAAATTCCGATCTGTGATCGCTGCATGCATACATACTTTATAAAATGATGCAGATCCGATTACTAGATCACGAGAGTTTGACTGTAAAAATTGTACGTATGAAGTTCTTTTTCTTGGATAAATGCATCATATAATTATTTATTTATTTATTTATTTTTGCTCCTCTCTTTTATAATAGGAATGTAAACTACTGAATCAAATTTATCTGACCTAATTAGCAACTTAACTAGAATCTCTAGGATAAATTTAACTTGAAGTCAATTCATTATACTATATTTACTACATTAAAAAATAGTTTGTTCATTTTATATGTTCGTTTCGTTTCATTTGCCCCCTCCCCCCCTCTTTCGAGAGTCCTGAAAAGTGATGTTAACCGAAAAATTAACTTCAAACGGCCTTAAGTAAACAAAAAAGGAAATGTATAGTTGTGAGAATCAATCTCGTTATTCACCAGGTCAATATTGATTTTTTAGCCATAATTATAGCCAAATTCTTCCTCTACGAAGTATAAGAAGGGTTTACAGAGCAAAAATCTAAATAATCGTTTAAATAATTGATCGGTTATGACCGGTCATTTAACCTTATATAACCGACGCGATCAACCGTCAATAACCGGTAATGACTGATCGTGACCAACCGTAAACGACCGAACCCATCCCTAAGGTCACTTACTCAACATCATATGAGGTTAGTGTCAGCATTTAATTAGTAGCAGGTATATATTGTATTTTTAGCAAATTGTCGCCCTGTGTGATTTTAAGTATGGCAAACAACTTTCAGGGGAGTTGAATTTACCTTAATTTTAAAAAAGTTGTATTTGCTTAATACTCCAGGTTCTTTTGTTATGTGTTGTTTATTAAAAATATTAAACTACGAAAATAATTTGATAATTCATGCAAATATTGCACATAATAAGGTTGAGTAAATAAGTTGCAATATTACAATATATGTAATTTTACGTATGTAAGCTTCAGTAAATGCAATTTTCATCACATTATATAAAAATACCAGCTTTATAAAATTCGGCCAGCATTATTGCATCATTTGATTTAAATGTATGGTCTCGAATTGTAACACCCTTAAATCACCGAGCAATGTTTTCAGAAATTAATAGCATGTGTTCAAAAATTACGATTAGCAAAATGATGGCACAAAATTTTGCCAATCCCATGATGGATCTATTGCAATATAGGTTATACCCATTCTAAGTCAATTGATTAATAATACTTTTATTAATAGTCTCACCTATACTGCAAGAGATCCCCGTGATTTTTATCCAATCCAATTTTAAGGTCAATATCATCTCTATTTTATTAATACCAAGTTGGTTGCGCTCTAATGTGGTGATTGTATAGAGGTGTGACTATAAACAAAATACCATCTGATCTCTAGCCAAAATCAGATGAGTAGTACAAAATGCGCTAAAATAAACTATTCTGCTTAAAATTCTATAATTTCTTTAATTAATAAAATTATATTTAGTTTCACAACTCTCTTTGAGCCTTGTTTTCGTTTAAATTATATTTTCCAAATTCATTAGAAATTAATTCCTTCAATTCTTTAATTTCATCTTTCAAATTGGCTAGTGTTGGAGACGTATCATAATTTTTACGTTTAGAATAAATGATGTAGCAAACTTTATCCATGTATCTGGCTGAACTCGAAGCATTTTCACCTGCTTCAACGTGATTACTTTTGCCTAAAAAATTATAAATATATTCAATAGTTCTATTACAGTACAGTATTAATATTAGTGATACAAGTTGTAATTGAAAATTAGTTTATATTATATACGTAAATTATTAAAAGAGAAGTTATTCATGTATACATACTCTTCAGCAAAGATTTTGCTGTATTCAATATCAACAATTACCTCTGCCAATTGTGCAACCCACACAGCACGTGCATTTGCAAATATTTTTTCATGAGCATTATTCATAAGAACGACTACTCAAAAAATATATATATATAAATAAATGTTAATGAAATAATAAAATTATCAACGTACAGTACATACTTACTTAGAGAATTCAAAATTACAATTACTGTGCTGAATGAGAAAATAATTGTAAAAATATCCAGTAGACGATTATTTGTCCATGGATCCAGAGAATCATAATTACCCAAAAGTATTAACCAAATATTTTTGAGAGATTGATCAAAAGTTGCAAAAGTATTTGTATCATTGATATCATCAGATTTTGTCTCCAATAAAAGAACCATTAATGAATGGGAGAAAGCAAATATTATAAAGATCAAATATAAAAGGAACCATTTAATCTCCCAGATGATCTCTTCGAAGACTTTTTATGAATAAAATGTTAGAAATTTTACAACCTTTTAAATTAAAGTAAAATTTAAAAAAATTTCCTACCCGCAATAAAAATTCCAACATTTTCAAAGAAACGAAATTGTAAAATGATAAAGATCCACATAAAAAATATAGAGAGAGATCGAAGCTCTGGAGGAGCATAATTATTATGAAGTTCCAGAGATAAAGTGACAACTGGAAGGACGGAAGCTGCAAGTCCGACAATTACATCCCATCCTTTAAAAATGTATGAACGATATGAATTTATATTTTTTATATTCATGTAATATAAAATTCTAAAATAAGCAGCACACTCTGTGAACCAAATTAATAGCATAATTAATCCAAAGAATAAGCTTGAAATTATCAAATTCTTGTTTCCAGCAGTAGCACTGCTTGTGTTAATAATTACTGAAACAAAAAGAATAAAATGAATAAAATAGTAAATAAATTTTATGAGATAAAAAATTAATAAATCAGTATTATGATACATATACATAACAATAGATTCAAAGATAGGTGATCGAAAAGTCTCAATGGAACGAAGGTAAGCTAATTCTTCAAAGGGACTAAATTTACGAATAAAAATAAACTTTAATAAATCTTCAAGCGAATTGCCTCGCTTTGGATGCGCAAATAAGTGAGGTAAATATATATAATAGTTGGGTGAATTAGTGATTTCATGTTTATTAACTTTTTTACTTGACGTGTTAATGAAGCACCCTTTCCATTTAATTTTCCAATTTTCGGGAAGCTTTTTATAAGAGAATTTTTCTAATAATTCTTCAAGAATTTCTGGATATTGAATAGCAAGCTGTGGAAGCTTATCAACTAAGGCGGACATGTCTTCAGATCGTTCAGATCGTAAGCAATTATTAACGGCTTCCTGTACTGAGCATGTGTCATGACTTTTAATTGCATTTGTTAGTTTTTCAAGAGCATCATTAATTTCTATTGTAGAGTTTTGCATATTTGTTTCATCTATAATTTCTTCCATTGGGATTTCTTTGAAAATTTATTTTAATTACTATCGTTATATGTTATAAAATTTTTTTTTGTAGATATACTTAAGTTGGAATACTACTCAAAATATATGAGTACTACTAATGAAACCCGTAATTCTTAAAATAGATTATTATAAATCTTATAAATTATTTTTATAGTATTACGGATTTTCATTTAGCAAAATTCACTTGATATAACAAACCATATTATTATTAATAATTTATCCAGGAAGATGCGTATGATCCAGTATAACCATCGGAAAGCTTGGCACAATCATGCAGATTTTTGATGTTAGATAAGAAGCATAAATTTGATGTCATTTATAGTTTTATGATTATTAGGTATTCAAGAGAGCGTATTTTTATTTTTAATTAAGGTGAAGACACTTTTATGTACATTCTAAATTTCTCATAACGTTATCACTAAAATTATAACATCTATACTATAGCTGTTAGATGAAATCTCAAGTTTTCGTGCTGGCGAAATGCAAAACTTAGTTTCGTATTTCGTCAATTAAATTCTTAAACGAAGGTGCCGTAAAGGTTGACAAAACTAATAAAAGACGAAGATACAGATAAATTTTGTTGAAACTCATTGAAGATAATGCAAAAAAAATTTTTATTATATAGTGGGCGCTTGAATTGTTTAAAGGGAGTTTGAAATGAGTATACTATCTTGTAATTATAATAGCACTAGCATTACATATCAGCTCTAGTGCGAATCACTTGTGGTCTTACAATTTATTTGCGTCAGTATGTTTTAATTTATTATTTATGTTATTCCATGAGCACTATGGCTTTTTAACTAGGTTATTTCAACCAGCTATAACAACCTAGCGTTGCCCAGAAAAAATGAATACTATACTAAGAGGTACTAGAATTGAATGTTATTTTTAATAGTTAAAATTATATACAGTACAAGTCATACATACACTTTATTTACATCATAACCATACATTTCACCAGATCTTAAAAAGGAAGTAACGGTATTATACGTTCTAAGGGGCCCGCGAAATACTGTAACAATTCAGTAAAAGGAACTGAAATGGAAGTAAGAAAATGAGATAAATTATCGGTTACACCGGTATTTAAAATCCGGTAAGATTCAAATTTCCTTATTTGGGTGTTTAAAGCGAAACAACTAAAATTGGGGCTAATTAGGGATAAGACGAGGATTATAAGTAAAATTGCTCTCCCGATAATTTTTGTTAGTGCTTCAATATAGGTTTAGACACTCGTTTCTTGTATTTTTTTGCGGTCTTTTGCTTCATAAAAACTTTACGATTTGATTGGTTAATCTATGTAGATCTTCCTTAGTTTTATGCTGATCAGAAATTTTATTATATTAGTCAATAGGCAACGGTAGAATATTTGATAATTATTCCCACGCAGTGGGGAATAAAAGTGTTATGACTAATTGTCGCTCGGAGATTATTTCCATACAGAAAACTCATATTCTATAATTAATCATACGATGAATAATACAGTACTTGATAAACTTTAAACTCCGGAATTTTGTTCTTGATCTTACTTGCATTCACATGAAAATAATTTTTGAAGTAAATCTACAGACAGTTATGGTAGATGGACAAACATGCGGTTGTGTCAACATCACTTAAATGTACTAAAATATTACGATTCGGTTCATTTAATGCTCGCAACGGGTTCTCGACACCCATTTACCTGTAGCATATGTATATTAATAGTAAATTTTCACTTGTGTGATGTCGGTTAGCCGGGATTTTAGATTAAATGGGTGTCGAAAATCCGCGTGCGACATTAGTAATAAAAGATGATAAATTTTTAATCTAAAAATGTATTTATATATTTAATATGACGCTAAAGTGTATATGAGATAAAATGAAACTTAACTTATATTCTGCACAAATTATATAAATCTAACATCTCCAACTTCTAAACTTGAGTCATCCTGCTACCTATTTTAAAGTATCGAGTCGATTTTTAGTTTCAATACATCTTTTTTAGCAAAGCGTTAATTTCTTTCCTGGAGAGCCCATCATTGGGAGTTCTGTTAATAAATTATAAATTTTAATCAATATCATTTTTCTTGCTAGTAATTCTCGAGACAATGTCAAATTATATTGACCTATTATTTATTGTTTTTCTGCTTCAATTATCTTGTGCTATACCAATTCCTCCGGAAGAGGAATATCCCGGTTACCGGTATCATGAACCCAAAAACAAAGGTAAATACAATCGACGGAATGTTTTTTTTCTAGTTAGTTCTCGAGACAATGTCAAACTACATTGATCTACCATTTTATTATTTTTTCTAAAATTATGTTTGTTTATAATACTGGAATAAGGACCTGATGGTATCTTTCCAGGCGTATTATTGCCAATCATCGTAGTTGCTGTTATTTTTTTATTGGTATTATGTATTTTCGAATCCAGAGGCAATAGAGCTAATAATGCAGCTGCACAACAAAGTTAATAATGCAGCTGCACAACAAAGGAACAGAGTTAATAATGCAGCAACACAACAAATGAATGGAGTTAATAATACAGCAACACAACAAGGGAATTAAGTGAAGAATTCAACGCAAAAACAGATATTAAAAGGAATTAAATCTTTTTCATTATATTCATCAGTGTGTACTATGGCCCGGACATTGGTTAAACTTATAATAGTAAGGTTCTTCAACTCCAGTAAATAATATTTAATTTAGTGAATTATTATGATAACACCTTTTTACTAACAGTAGTTTTAATCTAACTATAGTAAGGTTTTAAATGGTTCTATATATTTAATTTTACAAAACAATGTTCTAATAAATTTTTAAATTCTCCTTATATAAGAGAAATTCCAGTGGTTTAAATATACTTTTATATAAAAACATTTTAATTGGTTGAATACTTCTTGATACAAGGCTTACAAAGTTTAAAATCTTGGTATAAAAATAAACTAGTACTATGGGTGGCAAGAATGTGTCGCCCATCTTATTCAGCATTTTAAACATACTAATAAACTATTGTAAAAAAACTCTATTATAGAACTTGCCTACACACAATATGTAATTAAGATTATATTAGATTATATTAGTTATTAGAATTATTATGATTTTAAAATACGATTACTGTAAAATATTAAATGATTTTACACACGTTGTGAAACACATAAAAAAATTATTTTACAATACTTGATCAGACTGCAAAAACATTGTTCCTGACCCACGTTTCTGACCTTAAATTTCCGACCCAAAAAAAAAAATTAGCCAATCGGAATAAAGAATAAAATAACGTTTACATTGAACTTATATTAACATCCCCAGTCCCGTAGCCTCTACTATACACACTGTTATTAACCCTTCTTTTACAGTTCGACTAACATTTTTACGGCTTTGCTTTTTCAAACGTGCCTTTTTTAAATGATCAAATTCATTAAGATATTTTTCAACAGCACGTCCAAAAGGCACGAAAACATTGTCACCTTCTTTTAAAAAAAGTTGGGACGACATAATAAAGGTGAAAGGAATAATACTGTAATAGCAATAGTTTCTGGATACATTAATCGCACGAGTTGTTACACAAATTGATTTTTATTATATCATTATTGTATCTATATTGTATCTATATTGTAATTTATTTTTATTTTCACGATACTACTGTACTATACTACTTATACGTAATAGTAATGCTTTAATAATAAAAGTATTATTAAAATTAATTATGTTTATAAATTGCTCTTCATGCACGAGTTTTATTTATTTTTGGAAGAAATCTAATAATTTCATTAGCACTTTCTACGGGACTGGGGATGTTAATATAAGTTCGATGTAAACGTTAATTTATTCTTTATTCCGATTGGCTATTTTTTTTTTTTTTTTGGGTCGGAAATTTAAGGTTAGAAACGTGATCCAAGTGGGTCAGGAACAATGTTTTTGCGATCGGACATGATCAGTCAGCCAGTGCATTTTATGATTGTAATCCAACATCATTTTTTATTATAAAAAAATGGTATTGGATTATAATCATAACATGTATTAGCTGACTGATCAAGTCCGATCAAGTATTGTAAAATAATTTTTTTATGTATTTCATACCGTGTGTAAAATCAGTTGTGTAACATCAATGTTTCCTCCTGTTTTCAGTTACAGGATTAAACCACAAATATGGTTAAGATTATTACAGAATTCATTTGTTATTTCAATAACTACAGTATGTGATAGGTCGAGTTAGACTGTGTCGGAATAGTCATAACTTCTATTATGATTACTGTAAAAACTTTGTTACAAACCTTCTATCCAAGTGACAATACAATGTTGACTATCCTAAAATAACTAAGTCTGTTGCTTGAGCGAAAGTAATGTCATATAACCAATGGTTGGGTTTGGGGATAGGTTCAGTCAGCTAGATCAGCTATTGGTCAGCTATCATCGATTATCGACTAGTAGCCAGCAATAGCCGATAAATTACTTAATCAATTTCTTAATCAATTTATTTTTCAATCAAACATATAAACAAGTGCCAAATAATTATATTTTTATATGTTATACAGTTATATATATTAAAGTACCCTAGTCATTAATGATACCTGACGAAAGCCGAAATAGTTTCGTCTAGACAAATGATGAAACTGTTTTGTCTGGCAGCTTATGAAACCCATGACGAATAATGAAACTCATGACGAATGTTGAAATTCGTTATGAAAATCCATAAATATATATATTTATGAGGGAAAAAATAAATAAAAATAAAACGTGCGACTTTGCTTTAGGAATTATTAAAAACTGGTTAGTGCATAAACGTCTTCTGATAGTAAAATTTTGATTTCTTTGTTTTTATCATTAAAGTTGTTTATGTTACATGAAGATTTGAAGATCCTATAGATCATTTGGGTCATTTTCTAGGAAAACCACAGATTGAAGAGTAGGTTTAATTTTGAGAAAAATGCGATTAAATTTTGTGCTACTTAAAATATTGCATTTTTCTTGAAATTAAAACCACCCTTCAATCTGTGGTTTTCCTAGATAACAACCCAATATTCAATACCAAATTACCCTGATCACATGATATTGTGAACTGATTTTTGGGCAAGATTTAGGTTCCTTGCTCAACATAATATCAGTTGACATTTAATTTTGGCCAGAATTTACAACTATAATGCTGGCCGTTTTACTTAATTCTGGTCTGATCACAGAATTTTTGCAGTATTATCATTTTGCATAGATAAAATTGGTATCTTGTCACTGCAGAAAATCATCGTCCCTGCTATTAAGTATTGTAAGACCAGTTACACAATAGCAAGACCCTACTAACCCTAAGACCCGGTCCAAACCTTTACAGCCTCTTTCTGTATACCAACTCAAGGTTAAGAAGTCTTGGAACAATTGTTGTATAGTTTTGCATTAGTTAAATTAGTTAGTTGGCTAGTTATAATTATCCCAATTAGCCCACACTTGCATGAAACCCATCTCTAGTTTCATCAATTGTCAATCATCTGTAATTTCGACTATAGATTCATCTATAGTTTCATCATTTATCTATAGTTTCGTCATTTGTCAATAGCTTCGTCAGATAAAACCAGAGATGAATACGTTTCGTCTGTACGAAAATAGTTTCGTCAGGCATTATTACTAGCCATGGCAAAAAACTCTGGGTCACATGCATATAGGATAACTTTCTCGTGATTGGTCGATCAGTGAAATTAAAATAACTCACTATAATTGGTCAGATTATATAGATCATAAATTCGAAAATATTCAAATAATTTATTAAAATATCGTAAATTCAATAAAAATTTTTATTCAAAATTTTTAATTTTCAAAAAAAAAAAATTATTTATTGTAGTCCTTTGAACTTTTGCAATAAATCGTCAAGATCTGTTTTTCCAGAGATAATAAGTTCATCATCCTCAGCTATTTCATTTTCAAGTTCTTCTGTTTTGGATTCTTCTGTTCTACTTTCTTGAACCTGAACATTTTTGCTGTTTTCTTTTTATTTTTCGCCTTTTTTATCATCCAAATCTAATAGATGTTCTAGTAACTGATCTACATTTGCCTTTATAAATAAGGTGGACATTTCTGGCCAACTTCATTAAAACATTCTACGTGATATTTGTGACCTCGGTTAGTATTTACATATCTACTCTAGTACATAATGAACAATCACACAAAATAAATTGGTTAGGTTTTTGCAAAGTACTAAAGCCCAGAGTAAGGTGACAAGTATTTGCAATAATTCCAATAGCTGGTATGGATATATTAGGACCGTTCACTATTTTTCTCTTTTTTTTTAAATACTTACAGTCATACCTGAGTTATATCCCCACTGGGTTATATCACAACCTGAGTTATATCCCCATTTTTTAGCAGAATAAATTTCCTTTTTTTATATAGTTTACAGTATATATTGAGTTATATCCTCACCTTAGTTATATCACCAAAAATGCTCTGGAAAAAAGGAGTGATATAAATCAGGTATGACTGTATTTACCATTACGTTTAAATTTATTTCATTCGCATTAATTTAGTTAGTGAGTATAAAGAACATTTATTAATCAATGGAATTAAAAACA